TATGTAATCTTTTCTTTTCTCCATTTTTCTCAATGATTAACGACGTTTCTTATCAATGCTGTATGGTAACAGTCTTACTACAATATCTAAACTACTGGAAGACAAGCTTAGCGTGTACTTAAGTTATTCTGTCTATTATCTGTATGTGCTGATGAGACCGTGTTGTTAGCAGAGAGTTCAGATGATCTCCAAAACATGTTAAATAACTTCAGAATATATTACAAGTACATTTTCAAGGTGAATATACACAAAATCAAATGTCGACGAAGAATACCAGGTAATTTGAAATTCACGGGTGAGACCTTAGATATAGTTTAAGAATTAAATAATATTGGAATTTTATTTAACTCTGGAAATTTTTAAGAACTTAAAGAAAACAAGAGCTTGATGAAACAAGATTCGCCTGCACGTCTGAAGCATTAAAGGAATGTAGACTATATAACCAAACAATACAGTGTCAACTGGACTCGTTGACAAAAAAATAACACCAGTTTTATTACACGGTTGTGAATGAAGGTTTGATTTAGTTTAGTTTATTATTTTACGTCCTATTAACAGCCAGGGTCACTTAGGAACGTGCCAGGTTAGTGTGGTGGAGGAAAGTCGGAATTTTCGCAGAAAAGCCACCGACCTTCGGCATAGTTAGTACCTGGCGACTGCTCCACGTAGGTCTCGAACCCGGAACCAAAGGATGGAGGGCCAGTGTTGAAGACGGTCAGATGCCTAGATCAATCGGCCAGCGCGGCCCTAGTAAGGTAAGGATGTTTTCTAATAACTCTGCAATAAAAAGAACCATTTAAAGTTTTGTAACGTGTTACTGCATCTTAAATCCTCCAATCCCGAATTTATGCTATATGCAGATCTCGGTAGACATTCGCTTAATATTGAAATTAAAATGAGAATAATAATTCTTTGGATAAATGTAAAAGAGGCTACAGAAAACCATTATTTATATATATATAAAGTATCAGCTATCATAAATAAACATAGTGGTGCTTGAATTACATGGACCGATGTTTATTGAATAATTATGAACTTTCCTGTTTATGGTTGAATCATAATCATATTGCTCCAAAATGATTTCTTTCTAAAATAACACTAATATTAGTTATTAATTTAAACAAATCTAGATGGAAACATGCTGACACTCTCCAAAATTCCATTTATAGGGTTTTGAAGGACGAATTTGGTTTTGAAATTAATTTGAATATTCTATCAAAATTTGATGCTTTACCTTTTTTGCAGATTTAGATTAAGAAACAAATTTTTACCCGTCAAAATTGAAAGTTTGAGAAATATACCAAGTGAAGAACGAATAAAAGAGACATCTGAGACGAATGTCATCACGTATTTGAATGTTCGACTTTAGAAAATGGAAGAAGAAGCTGCTTACGGTCGAAATGAGTTATTTGGCAGTGTACTACCGTTAAAATGATTTCTAAAAGACTATAATTTAATGTATGTACCTTTAATACGAAAATTAAATAATGTCTGTTTCCCCCTAGAAATCATCGGGGTTAATTATTTGATCAATGTATATTGCATCTATGCTTTCTTTCTTCTGTATATTCACGCATGCGCACTACATTATTGGTAATGTATCTCTGTATGTCGTTCTTTGTAAAGGTGTTGAGATAATTATAAAATGAAAATGTAAAACTAATCTCCCCTACAATAATACAATGGAACTCTCCATCAGTGTATTTTTCACTGCATATCCTCTGAATCCTTCAAACCCTCTCCCTAGCTATAACTGTATTTATTTTTATCCCTTTATCCAAAACTAGCAATCTACAAATGAAATAATAAACAATAAATAATTTCTCAAAGATATTTAGGAACTTAGGGCATAAATCTCGAGACGACGAAAGGGTGACAATCCGCCCCTTAGCTCATAATAATTCAGGTAAGACTGCTTCAGTTTTAATGGACGGCTTCCGAGTAGCCAAAATAACATAGCCTTGTGGAAAGATTTGTTAGACGAATAAATAAATACATAAATAAATGTTTTAAATTAAAAACAAATAATAAACACAACAAAATGATATTGTTTAAACGTGGCAGTTTATTTTATTCGCTTTTGACACGTTCTGGAATTGGATGCCGAGGAAAGACTCTCAACTCTGTCCAGTTTGGCCCCATCTTCACAAACTTCCTTTATTGAGATTCGTTAACGTCAAGCTATCGGAAAAGCATTGCAGAATTCGAAGGAACTGTCCTTTCCATGGCCGTAACTACAATACTGCTTTCCGATTAGCAATTTAGCAATGAAATTTGGTAAAACTGATACACACTTACATATCAAGGATCTTTATGCATTCTTAGTTTTATTAAAAGTTTAACAACTGATCAGTTTGTATGTCCGCTGGGAACCATTCATTTGCCCTCGTGGGATTTAGTTTTATCCCACTGAAAAAATATTTAGGGAATACTGCGGACGATACAAGCTCAATTTTACCTCGTACAGAATAACTCAGTCGACCGATTTTAAGAGGTTATAAAGTGAAAGTCCTAACACATGGTCCTAATTGGATTCATTTTACACAATAGTGTTTCCACTGCGTGTGTCAAAATAACACGGTAAAAGAACCCTCGTGTCGTTCCTCGCCTCAGGATTGTCGGACATGGGTGACCCTATCGAAGAGGTTAAATCTGCGGTCGTCACGGGACGTGCCACACCAAGGCAGCAATTTTAAATCTGAAATGGAAAACTGTGGGCAAGGGAGGAGTATCGTTGTTCAGAATTAAAAAATTACCGTTTCTCTGTCATTCTTTTATTACCAAAGACTTACAAGCTGATGCTGTGACTCAATATCCCCTTTGCTTTATGATCAAAAACCTTATATCTTCAGTTAAGCAGGTTGAATGAGGGACGGAAGAATGCTTTCGATAACACTGGACTTGTCATAGAACCCATCAAAGGACTCTGTAATGCATTATCTTCTTAGAAATGTGTATATATGGAAAGGATCAGGTGTTCTTTAAAGTATAGCTAGGCAGATTATATCATTGCTTGATATATAGACTAGAATACATGAGTATAGCTTCATATGTATACCTGTTTATATCCATAACCCTTGTGGAAGTTCCATGGGGTATGTAGTCGGAGATGAACGAGTCTTTCTAACCGGTAGGTTGGGAATCGGAATCGTGACGTCATCAATATTTATGTCGATTGGGCAACAGAAACTGACTTCCATGCTCGGTAGGTAGTTTTAGACTCTGATATAATGGACAGGCATTATGTCATGGCTCAGATTAATCGAATGACATATTCTTGCGTAATATATATACATATAATCGGACTTGTGGTGAAATTATCCATAATTCGTTTCGCATCTATTTTACAGAACCTCTCGAAGAGGGTGGAAAATTCTGTCTATTAATCACAACCAAGACAAAAAAATAAAATCATGGATATATAGTTAGAACCCTTTAGACCAAATAGAAATTTTCAAGTTCAGAATTATTTCCATGTGGTGTAGGTACACACACTAATCATTAAGCGATAATCTGATGTTTTCATCAAGATTTTTTGTCTTTAATCACGGTGATCGGATCGCCTTTTTACCTCCCATCCTGAGGTATGCACACTACGTTTCTGCTTCTATCCATTCTGTCTCGTCTTCAATTTTATATTATTCGCTTTAAAATTTAATTCACGACTTCTTCATAGCTTTGTTTATAAAAAGAGAAAGCGCATTCTACTCAGATCCTTGTGAACCAACGAGAACAAAAATACATGAAACTAGTCGATAATTGATATTTTTAGTCTTGGGATAAGATTCTGTGACATCTACAAAATGTATATATATACACAAATATTGGAAGTCCTCAACTGCGGGCAACATTCACAGTTAGTTTAAATAGTTTATTGAAAAAACGATGAAGCCGATAATAGGCTACTGGAAAACGTATTTTTTTTTATTTATTCTCCCTTTTTTCTTTCCTAAATCACGTCAATGATATTGCCGATAACCTTGAAAGTTCGTGTAAATTATTTGCAGATGACATCTTCTTACTTTACTCCGATGTAACCATGGAAACAACGATAAACAATGATTTAGATAAAATTAAATGTTAGGCAGATAGGTAGTTAGTTAAGTTTTATCATACTAAGACAGAGGCATTACTTTTTTCCAATTTCAAGATTGATCATCTCACTGAAATCAAGTTTAATAATGCTGATGTTACGTTTGTAGAAACCCATAAGCACCGAGGAGTAGCATTGAATGCAAGCTGTGAATGAAGAAGCCACGTTGAAAATATTTGTAAAAATGTGTCTAAATAGTGTAAAAAATTGTTTTAAAAATTGAAGTACATTTGTGTATGTTAAATAGACGAACATTAAACAAAATCTATAGATCATACACTCTATCTATATTGGAATACTGTTGTGAGGTATGGGACGAATGTACTCCCGGTGATGCAGACAATTTAGAAAAACTGTAGCTATTGTCTATACGGGTAATACTAGAATTGCCTTCCTTTACGAGTAGGGAATCATTATATTCAGAAATTGGACTAGAACTACTTGGCGGCAGAAAAGAAAATTACAGCTCTTGTACAAAATTCATACTGATCTGATCTGATCACGCACCGAACTATCATAAACCGTTACTATTTCACAAAATTCTCAGTTTTACCTCCGAAATGCTCATGATTACTGCCTAACCAATTTCATGCTTCGTCTCTCTTATACAAATCCCCCTCTACTATTTGACATTGGAACAGAAAGTTAAAAGACGTAAATAGTTCCTCTTATTATTTGATTGGTGACAGGAAAACAAATATTTCACGTGCCAGGTTAAGATGTAGTTCAAGTACTCTAAATGATGGCTTATATCACGCGATTTCATTCAGAGGACAGAGTTAACGAAGTAAGGGAGACAACCCCTATAAAGATAATTGCTCTGTGGGGGCGCACCTGTTACCGGAAGTAAGACATACACGGTAAAGTTTGGGAAAATGGTGACTTTGTCAACAAATTACAGCTGTGAGAAAACACCTTAAAAGTGCGTGATGTATTCATAGAAAGAACACAGCCTATCGTTTGCTGTCCGTATTGGGCATGATGGCTGAATTACCAGGTCTACCGCCTCTCCCCAAATGTTTTAGTGATGTAGTGAACATACATGTCAACTCGTCGCTGACAAGTTTTGAAGAAAAAGAGGAGGAGTCGACATTGGGTGGCAGCATCAGTGACACTGAAGTGTCCAGTCTGTCCAGTCCGATGAGTCAACCGGACCGCAGCGTGCTAAGAGACGGCGACACTGATTTGCAAGGCAATGCATCGTCCACCGACTCAAATGTTGATTCGGCTGTCCAGTCGCCCGAGGACCAACCAAGTGGCAGTGAAGAAATGTCTCCTTTCGTGAAGCTTAACACAGCATTATCTACTTTAAAGAATGAAATGGTAAATTGAGCATTGAAGTGACGGCTTTTTGTATGATATCAATAGTATTAATGTATTCGGAACGTGTAGGTATACATTATGTACATTATTTATATCTTGCCTAATGGAACATTATACAAACCACATGTATTCATTACAAAACAAATGAAATGTTATTTAATGTAAACATTATTTCATTCTTATATATACATATACATTTAACAAGACACTAGCAATCATTAGTATTGAACACGTTTTCCGACTTGTATTAATCCGTCTTTGTGATTTACATTACATAACTTTACTATTACTAAAAATATTGCAAATGTTATTTGAATGTAAACGTAATTTTACAAAAAGATATAATTTGTAGTAAGTTTCTAAAATATTGCTCTTAAGTAATACTGTCTAAAAAAAGGACAAAGAAATAGATAGACAATCTGTATTTGCATGAGGACATCTGTCCATTGGTCTTTGGACAGGTATTTGCCATTGATATTTGCTTTGAGGCAATTTCCTTGGGAGTAATGTCCCTTTTATAACACACATCATTTATAACGTTTGTTTTGAATAATACTGCTTACAGACTGAAACTTAGGGGACATGACCATGATCAGTACTATAAAGTAGTGTAGATTAATGGGCATTACATCTGCCTTTAGACTCTCTGCAGACAAGATAATGCAGTTGTCACATGTGTGTCTGCTGATTACCATTTGCTTAACTCAATGATTGGAAGATGGTATTTGAAGCAGACATATTTGGTTATATGAGAAAACCATATATGCAATCTGTTAACACTCATGATCAGTTGTTAAAGAAATAGGATGTAATTTTTTCTGCTTAGGTCATGTTGCACTGCTTGATATATAATCAACATGGAAAACAATATGGAGTGCAGTCCCTTTATTGGGGCGACAGGTTTCTATGTAAAAACATCTTGTTTAACTTAATCTCTCCAAGGGAAAAGTATTTATCAACACCTACTGGTTAGATAAATCTATTGAAAGGACATCAATCTGCAGACCTAATTTCATTGATTGATTATGGTTTGGAGGTTGGGTACACGGCATGTTCCAATAGGTCCTTCATCAGTAAAATTTCATTTATAGCTTCCCAAAGAAGGCACACATTTGATACATTCTTGAATTCAGGTCATAGAGAGGTATCATTTGAAGGTTGTAAAGCCTTTACAGATGATATTTATGGTAACTTTGGTGTAACATAAAGTTGCTTCAGTTTTTGAAAATGTTTTGATTGTTTTATACAGGAATTAATGGATGTAGTTGTAGTTTGCAAATGGTTTATACCTCTCCTTTTCATTCACAGGCTGGTCTGAGGGAACTTGATGTGTCACTACTTTGCCAGCTGTGGTCATTGAATGATGCTATCCAGGAATATAAAGTAGCAGTACAAGACCGGTATTCGGAGACCAATTCTGAATATTCATGGGGCATGAACAGTCGCACCAGTAGCATTGGAAGCTTTGACGACTATGATTGGAATGCAGATATATATCTAAAACCTGAGGGTTATGTAGACAGTTCCCTCCATGGTAGTACATCCAGTCTTCTGCAACAGATCAACGAACTTAAGGAACGTGCCGAATCAGAGTTTATATGATTGTTGAATTATTAAGTATGGAATGAATTTTCCTTTTTTATCTTTGAAAATGAAGAACTGCTAACCATAACAAGATCTCCAATAGATTGGTATTCATGATGATTCACAGCTATATTGATGACACTCAATGATATCTTGTATTGTGTCACAATTTTAAAAAAATATAGCGTGTTTAATATCCCTAACTTTTTTTTTTTGTTACAAAATCTTTAATGTTTTCCAAATTTATGCTCACTAAATAGCTAACACACATTTTAATAAATATATTTTGGAATTGTTTTGAGATTGATAACGGTCAGAATTAAAAGTTTATTGTTAATTTTTTCTATTGTTTCTAGTAAGTTTTTATTGTACCAAACTGTTAATAGATATAATATGTAACTCCATGTTATCAAGGCTAATCTGTCTTCTCTTTCTCTTTTTTTTTTTTTTGGGACCTTTGACTTTTGAATAGAGAATACATAAATATTAGATATTTGGAATCGAGTTGACTAACAGATGTGTTTTTCATGTTTGAATGTTTAACAAGCATTGTTCCTATCTCATTCTGTTGTATTTTTCATTGATTTTTGTTATGGTGTTGGAACTTGTGAGTTTTTGTCTGAATTTTATCTCTATAATTATTAGATATTGTCAAGTCTTGCCCCTGAACAGTTACCAGCAAACTTACAATAAATGTCTCAATTGTGTCATATTGTATCTTTACAAAAAAATCTTTTGTTTTCAGAAAAAATGATTTTGCATTATACTAACAAAACTTTGCATGGGTTGTTGAGTATATACCTTATAACAGGAATGAATATATTCTATTAATTTATATGTGAATTCACTTTTGTGCATAATTTAATGAAGAAGGATATTGGAATGGAAGTATTTTCAAGACAAAGGCAGAACCATTGGTATTTTCAATGAGTCAGAAGATAGCATTGGGCATTTTGAAATGAAAAGTTGGTTGAGATCAGTTTCAGCAGGAGCTGAAAGTAAATTCCAGTTTCTGATCAGGGTATTTTACATTCCCTATCTTACACTGCAGGACACGTTCTTTGTTGCTACATTTTGTATTTAGGTTTGTTTTGTTTAACATGGTATAATGAATCCTGTACATTAATATATATATATTTATACATTTTATATTTTTAACAAATTGTTGATTTTGATGTTTTCTTGATATTTCTTTCGTGTTGATTAAAGCATTTCTAGTGCTAATTTTGCTGAGGTTCTGGAGTGTACAGTTTTGATGAGATTGATTTGTGATCAATTTTTTGTAAGTTTGAAACTGAGTGATTTAATATGAAAATAAGAGATGCACACCAATATAAATTCCACAGAGAATTTAGGTCAGTGAGCTTATATTAACTGCTTTTGTGTGTTGATGGCTGTGACTCGGCAAGCTTTGTACTGTTGAAAGGGTGCTTTTTTAGTGTATTAGGAAAGGATTTCGAAGAGAAATGCAAAATGTATTTTGGATACATCAGGGTAGATAAGTGTTGTATTACATCAGGGTCAGAAAATGTTGTTAGGGTATATTAGGGTAGAGAAGTGCTGTTTGGGTACATCAGGGTAGAAGGGTGCTGTTTGGGTACATCAGGGTAGAAGAGTGCTGTTTGGGTACATCAGGGTAGGAGAGTGCTGTTTTGGGTATATCAGGGTAGAAGAGTGCTGTTTGGGTACATCAGGGTAGAAGAGTGCTGTTTGGGTACTTCAGGGTAGAAGAGTGCTGTTTGGGTACATCAGGGTAGAAGGGTGCTGTTTGGGTACATCAGGGTAGGAGAGTGCTGTTTGGGTACATCAGGGTAGAAGAGTGCTGTTTGGGTACATCAGAGTAGAAGAGTGCTGTTTGGGTACATCAGGGTAGAAGAGTGCTGTTTGGGTACATCAGGGTAGGAGAGTGCTGTTTTGGGTACATCAGAGTAGAAGAGTGCTGTTTGGGTACATCAGAGTAGAAGAGTGCTGTTTGGGTACATCAGGGAATATTTGCATTACTAGTAAGGGTGGTAGTACTTGGATATGTGAGGTGCAAGAACTAGATGTTTGGTTACATTTGAAATGAGATAAGTGCAGTTTTGGTACATCATGGTGAAGGATGTTCAAACACATTTAGATAAGGACTATTTTGTACAGGTGGATGTATGAAAACTCGAAGAAATTCAACAGCACTTCTATCTACTTAGTGATGGTATAAAATCACGTTGATGATGTTGCCTTCTACTGTGTGGCATGTCGACATACACTTTTATCGATGGGGTACCAGATCAGTCAGAATAATGATTTATCAGTTTTAAAGTGTGTATTTTCTCATTTCTATCATTTATATATATAAAATACAAACCTAGAAAATATGACAAATGTGTAGGCTACCAAATGCATTAATTGCATGCATGTGATTTATAAAAGGACTCTCTGTTTCATATGTAAAGGTATGGAATGATAGTGAAATCTGTTGTAACTTACAAATTGAGGCTGTGACGTTAAGCTGGTGTGGATTCTTGGTATAGAATATTGAAAATTTTGAAGCTTCCCAATCTGTACATTTTTTTTCAGGTCAGTTTTGCAGGTAAATCAAAATTTTGGTAATTTGTATATATATATTTCTTTCTTTTTCAAACAAAAACATCAGTAGGTTGTGATAAATATATTTTTCATAATGTATAAATCTATATGTAGTGAAATTGTAGGCCAAGGTAACCACATAAACAAAAAAATTTACTAATACATGTACCATATATAGTGGCCATATTGAATTAATCAAATGTAAATTTTACTTTTTAGTTTAATTAGTAACCTTTTGTTAGAAAAAGCTTTATTTGGTGTTAGTGTGTAAATACTTGCGCTATTTGTATGAAGATTTTTATGCCAAGTGTACACATTTCATTTCTTGATGAAATAAAAATTGCTGCTTTGACATGTAAAATCACATTTTGATATTAGATTGGAATTGCCATTTATTAGAAAGAAGTTGTGGTAATTAAAAATAGTTCTGATTTAAAATGAATTGGTGTTTATTAAATTGTACAGTTGTAGACAAGAATTTAAGATGTAAAATGACTGTTTTTTTTAAACCCGTTTTTTGGTACGATTAATATCCATTCAGGTTGGTGGCGTTCACACTAAGATGCCATGTACATGAATGACCTCCATACCATTTGTGTGTGTTCATGTAGTCTTGTTTAGTTACAGCATGTCTAGTCAGGTATATGTAATTGATCATTTTCAATATCAATCCTACAAATGTGAAGCATTGCATGTGAGGGGAGATAACTACATATACGTTAAGACATAGCTCCTTGTTTTTGTGAGGGGAGATAACTATTGTTACGTTAAGACATAGCTCCTTGTTTTTAGTTTACATGTCATGTACAAATTTCATGGGTTGTAATTCTAGCTCCTCTTTTACAATACATGTAATTATACTTGTAATCTCCTATTGGTTTAATTCCCCATGTGACATGTTTCTTTCCCCGACCAGTCCTTGCTGGACTTACACCTCAATCAGCACTTGTCTTAAACATGAGTCAATGCAAGTCTTATCTGTCCCTTAAGTTTGAGGCACAAAATACATTGTTTATTGATTAATATGTTGTGCATTATGTCTTCTAGTGAATGACTAGCATTCATAAGTACTGGTGCAAGGGAAATATTTTGAGTCTTTTGTAATGCCAGTATTGATAATGTATTGTGATTTTGCAAACAAAGATCGTTTTCCGCTCTGTAAATCTCTGTTATTCACAAGAAAATGAACATCAGATGGAATAAAAGGAAAATAATTGTTAAAATGACATATACCAGGTATATGTTTGTTTGGTGGAAAAGGTGTGGTTGATATATGTTCACATTATCATTGCTTTCCTAATTTTGAATACAGTTGACTTTTGCCTGTAGAGTCTTGTATATAAATAGAATGCAGAACTTAATGATGAAGAATTCATAAACATGTACTGTATACAAAAATTTTTTTTTATTTAAAATAGAATTTGCCAGATATTCAAGAAATCTTAGAAATGAACCCACGTAAATATTTAGAGTGGAATAACACGAGATTTAAAAGTGCACAAACATATTATGATTTGTTTCGCAAAGTTACAATTATAATTTCATTCTTTTGAAAGATATGCTGTTATTTTGATCCTTAACAACATGTGACTGAACAGGATTTCTGGTAAAACTTTGGTCGGGTCACAAATATAGAAATACTGATTATATATAAACTTGTTGGTTTTAACATGCAATTTGTACTGTAATGCTATTTGAAACATAAATTTGTATGACTTTAAAATTATTTACATCAGCAGCGTATCAAAAACTGTTTGGTTTAAGGGTTTTGCTTTTCATATCAGTTTCAAATTGGGACCACCACGATATGTTATTGTTTTGTCTCATTTAATAGAATTTTTTAGTCTTTTCTTGGTGTTAATATTATTAAACCTATGCCAGAACAATGGTAAAACTTGCCTTTCCTCCTCCCAATATTAGTGAATATATGACGAGAGTGTACTGTATAGTTTTAGACCCAGTGTAATTTACAACTGTGTGAACTTTTACACGTATACAGTACAAGGCACTAGATGATAACTTGGTAATAGGTTGACACTTTGTTTTTAATATCTTTTGTTCCTAATTTGACCAGTATTCCACATATAATATATTATCATCATTATTGTGTTTTTTTTAAGTATGTAGGTGTAGGATATGTTAAATATTGTGATGTTTTTTAACGTTAAAGTTATTGTACTACTTAACATTACCAATGAGGCCATTTGTAAAATTGGTTTGTTTTCTGCGTATTGTCATATTTTTCCATGGCAAATGATCTGTTGTGAATTGTGTTTTTTTTTTATTCATATTGCAGATGGATATATTGAAATTGTAGTTACACAAGAAACACAACCATTTTTTACAAATGGCCTTATGTTCATACCAGCTACCTCTAAAAGTTTTTAATCATAAACTGCATTTTTTTTTCTCCAATAATTTAGAGTACATACATTTTCTTGAGTGATGCAAGCTACATGTTAGTATGCTCATATTGTCGCCCTTAAGACATTAATTGGTTTGCAAGAGTGGTGTTCACTTGAATATTGCTAATGTCAACAAAATTGTTTTGTTCCCCAGAATTAGTTGAAATAGAAACACCTAATGTTGATAAGATGTCTATGGTGCTGCACTCACGAATGAGCACCGACCTTGCAAAGTTTTCTTTTGTATCAAAAGTGGGCAAATTTCAAGTGCATTGATGTTGTGCAACAATCCTCAAAAAAATGAATGATACATGAAGCAGCAATGCTGTTCGA